CTCCACTGTCGTCCGCCTCCCCCACTTGCTACCACAGTAGTAGCCAAGCAGGTAAGGCCACTTGACGGGACGTTGCCTTGAGATAGTCAACATTGGTCCCTAACCTTCAATTATTATATAAGTACTCTCGTTCTTCCCCCATCCACAGAATCATCAGTCTCTCGCTGCTCCCTACTGTGCTTTGTTCTGTCCGTGATATATGATAAATACCTTCTTCTCCTTGGACGTTTGAAGCTATTTCTCGATTCCTTCTCCAAGATCATCTCCTACTTGTTGGCAGCTTCTCAAGAACGGGACCGTCTTTGGATATCTACCCGCTGTTTTTATCTGACATTCCTGCTGTCACGTTTCTTTATCACAACCCAGTCACCCTTTTCCCTTCGGTCTCCGGCCTGACTCCTGAAAATCATCTGTGGGACATACACTATGGCCCCTTCAGCAACTTCACCGGGTGTCGTCTCTAAGCTCAACATGGCTAAAGATGTTAAAGATGGAGCAAACGGCGTCGAGGCCCCTCGTTGCCTCATCGACAGGTCATTAAATGAGGTCCCCTTTGAAGTTATTGGATCAAAGGGAAACTATCTTCATATGAGCAGCGGCTCCAAGATATTTGACGCTACAGGTGGTGCTGCAGTGGCATGTCTGGGTCATGGTAACCGTGAGGTCAAGGAGGCCATGCTGGATCAAATGGATGTCAATTCATACTGCAATTCTATGCTTTTCACGAACTCGATTAATGGTACTCTCGCCCAGGAGATTATTCGGGGCACAGGCAATCTCATGTCAAGGGTATATATTTGCAGCTCTGGTAAGTCCTCATCCACTCCGCTTCCACTTTCCAATGTTTTAACATTCCCCTCCAGGCTCCGAAGCAACAGAGGCAGCCATGAAAATGGGACGACAATATTTCTACGAGCTCTCCCCCCGCCAACCCCAACGCACCAAATTCATCGCCCGCGAGCACTCCTACCACGGCAACACCATTGGCTCACTCTCCCTCTCCGGCCACGTCGCCCGCCGCGAGGCCTACACCCCCATCCTCTCCGAAAACATCTCCTGGGTCTCAGCCTGCAACCCCTACCGGCAACGCCTCTCCAACGAATCCGACGCTGCCTTCGTCGCACGAAAAGCTGCCGAGCTAGATAACGAGTTCCAGCGCCTCGGGCCCGACACCGTCATAGGATTCGTGTGCGAGCCTATCTCCGGTGCCGCTCTCGGTTGCGTCCCTTACGTCGACGGGTACCTATCAGCTATGAAGGGGGTGTGTCGTAAATACGGCGCTCTATTCATGCTCGATGAGATCATGTCCGGTATGGGGCGGTCCGGCACACTACACGCCTGGCAAGGTGAACATGTCGAGGGCGACCCAAAGCGGGATTGTCTTCCTGATCTACAGATGGTTGGAAAAGGGCTGGGAGGTGGTTACCAACCCATCGCAGCAGTTATCGCTGGTAAGCAGTATATCAACGCCATCAAAGCCGGGAGCGGCGGCATCATCCACGGACAAACCTACCAAGCCCACCCCGTCGCCTGCGCCGCCTCACTAGCCGTGCAACGCATTATCCGGCGCGAGAACCTCCTCTCCAACGTCATGAGACAGGGCGCCTACCTATCGCAGCTCCTCCGACAGAAACTCGGATCGCACCCCCACGTGGGGGACATCCGGGGCAAGGGTCTCTTCTGGGGCGTGGAATTCGTGCGGGATAAAGAGACGAAGGAGCCATTTCCTAAGACATGGGGTGTCGCAGGGAGGATGTTGGATGTGGCGCTCAAGGAGCCTTTTAATATTACGTTTTATCCGGGGCAGGGAACGGCGGATGGGTGGGAGGGCGATCATGTTATTGTGTCGCCGGCGTATAATGTTACGAAGGAGGACGTGGAGTTGATTACTGATAAGTTGGTGGGGGTTTTGGATGCGGTTTTTGAGCAGATGAAGCGTGAGGGGAAGGGTGCGGGTGATAATTGAGGAGGAGCCCGCATGTGTGGTCAGGGAGGCAAAATGCGTGCTGATATTTTGGATACTCGTGAGCTGTTGGAAAAGCAACGACAAGGGGAGCAAGGGCTGGGCTGGAGGTAATATATCTTGGTGATAATGTTTTAGCGATTTAGCAGTTCTCATTTTTGGTCTTAATATATTCTGATAATTATTTCAATTTGATATTATGGATAACTACTAGAGTTTCGTACAAGGTTGCTAGAAATGAAGGGTATACGAATAAACCTGAACCAGAAAACCGGGAAATAGTGAGTGTCAAGGACCCCTCCCCCCCATCATCATCAAAGCGTCAAATATCCACATCCTGTATTCCCATTCCGCTGCGAGAGGCCGCCCGAAAAACACCAGTGAAACGCAAGAACGCACGCACGTCATTCATCGATCGCTCCCAAAGCAACAGAGCTAACTGTACACATACACAAAATCGCACTATGCACCATCACTATCATAATCAAACCACCGGTTGTGCTAACGGGGGTAACTCCCCAACCTTCCTCTCCCTCGCCACATCCCTCGCTCCCCCATCAATCCCCGTAACCTGCCCCTCCTCACTCAGCAGCGGAATCGAATCCACATTCGCGGCCCCCTCATCCCCTGAGGAAAGCGGGCTCTTCGCCGCCTCAGCGGGCGGTGTCCCGATCGCCAGATCCGGGCTACTCTGCCACTTCTGGACTTCCTTACGCATTTCCTCGAGCTCGTTCTGGAAGCGCTTCCCGAAGACGTCGATGTAGTAGGTGGCGCCGTTATAGATACTCCACGTGAACACGCCGAAGAGGAACATGGAGCTGGCCCAGCGGTACCAGAACCAGATCGGGCAGGGTAGCATGGTGGCGAGGGCGTAGGTGTACTGGATGAACATGAACGCGGGCTCTTGGAGGCTGTCGGGGAGGGAGGTGACGGCGCGGCCGATCCAGGCTTTGGCGTAGGATTTCTTGAGCCAGGTGTAGGATGTTGGGCGGCCGGCGGCGATTTGGGCGCGCCGGCGCACGGTGATGAGGAAGTGGTAGGAGAGTTGCCAGACGGCGTAGGGGAGGGTGGACCATAGGGCCATGGCGGCTAGGGTGTAGTGCTCGGGTGAGGAGGGGGCGGAGGTGCGGATTGTGTGGAGGGCGGGGAAGCGGGAGGCTTGGAGCTCGTCGGGGAGGAGGTGAACCATGCAGTGGAGGGCGACGCAGGGCATGATGTGGATGAAGAGACTGGGAGGGTTAGCTGATTAATGGAGTGTGAATGGAGTGTAGGAACTTACCTCGTGACTTTGTCGAGAGAGTGGAAGACGAGAGAGTTCCTCCACATAGCGATGGCGATCGCATTGTTACCAAATGCGAGGCAGTACGTGCTGATGAAAAGACGTTTCGACTTAGGGAAAACCCAGATGCTGAGCATAAGGAGGAAGTTGACGAAGTAGCAGAGATCCGCGAGGAAATAGTGTAGACCGCGGCGCTTGTACGTGAAGAAGCGGATGGGCATGAAGTAGAGGAGCTGGAGCGTGTACCAGATATGGAACCACTCTGGGCGCCCACCGATGAGGTAGCCGCTGATGAGGATATTGAGGACACCGAAGATGAACGAGAACTTCTCGCGCAGTGTCACGGCTTTGGTATCGTTCCACTGTTTCCCAAGCTTGTCGACGCTGGTCTTCATCCGCCTGCGGTATTTCTCAAGCTGTTCATCGGCGGTGGGCACACGCCTCCTCCATTCCTCCACGACCTTGTCTTTGGCAAGGTTGCCTCGAGACCTAAGCGCATTTCGTTGCCGGAGGACCTTTTCTGTCTGTGCGCTGAGATTCTTTTGAAGCTTCTCGAGTTGTGACGGCAGAGCTAAGTTGTCAAGGAGGTCAAAGACGCTTAGACGGTCCAGCGGTGGGATGGCCTCCCAGTCTTCATGATAAGAACTGCTTCCCGAGAATGAATTGTTTCGTGATAGACGCGGACTTCCTTCAGACGCAGAGGCATGCCTGCCATTAGGTGGTGATGCACTGGCAAAGGATTCTGGGCTGCCAACCGCAAACTCCCCAGCGCCATCTGTGGCAGCTCCCCCCCCTCTTCCTGGTATTGGTATAGGTTCAGACATCTCAGAGAGTGTTCGTGTGTGTTTGTGTGATCGGTCTGGAAAGGAGATACGTCGGAGTACTGCGGCGCCCCTGAGAACTAAAAGGTCAGCCATAATCTTGGTGACGTCGACGATGTTATAACCCCAAGACGCGAAACCCTTGAGGCACGAGACGCGTGAAAATGAAGAGGGGTCTCAACTTACCGACGATAGAGCCCTGACTTATAGTAATATATACAGAGCTACTCGGCAGTTACTCTTGAGGGGTAACGGTGAACCGCTGGGGTGGGTTGGTTCTTTGCGGGACAGAAGTCTAGGTTGCAGTGTGGGAGCTGCAGTAAGGGGATCTGGCTGGAAGATGGTCGTCAAGTTTGACGAGTAAGAAAGCTGGAAGGGTCGATATATGGCGTGTAAAGAACTAGTATAACGTATTCTTTAACATGCTAGTTATCGATCACCCGCCATGTGGAGTCAGACGCTGAGGTTGAAAGGAGGCGCATTTACTGGATGTCGAGGTTGGAAATGAAATCGTGCTGCGAGCCGCAGATGTAATTGGGTCAAGGCTGAAGAGTGTCTCAAGGGCCGAGGGATCTGATGACGGCCATAATGGCCACACCAACTCCAGCCAACGCCACCATTTTACAAAGCGCGTTCTATACATATTGGTACTTATGAATAAAAGCTGGAAAACCTGACTCAAGAATCATCTTTTAGGATATTTCTATTCTTGTTATTCTGGAGAATTACCAGGCAGCGAGACATGTGATACTTCTGTGGCTTTTGTATGGCGCAACCCTGTTGTGTAAAATGATACAAGGAATAAATATCTTGTAGCCCAGTTAAGCGTCCAATCATTGCTCACGTACAGCTATGGGCGAGGCTGAGAAATATATACATCACGTGACGTCTACCTATTCGCGTCGGAGGACTCGAGGACGTATCGCGAGAACCGCGACTGTTCGCGACGGCGCGCGCATTGGTATCCATAAACGTCAACGAATCCGATAGCTTTTCGGGGTCATACGTATAAGCGGCTCGTTTCGACTCTTCCGAGACACATACCGGATCGACTATATCTATCTCCAAATTGAAAAAGCACCTATGTGTGTTTCTTTACAACCTACCCGTACCTGATTGACACGACTTCACCCCGCAAAGCGCAACTCTCAAAATGGGGAAACTCATCCGCCTCGAGCTCTTCAGTAAGCCAATCTCGGATATTGATCGTGCGGCAACTTGCAATCTGACTATGAGACAGACTTCAAGTCCTACAAGGGCCATCATACCCTTCTGTTCGGCGACTCATACTTCACCTCCATCATTGGGCCCAATGGATCCGGAAAATCAAATTCGTACGTCGCATCGAATAATGAGGGACATAAAAGAGGGACAATACTGACAATATTGCAGCATGGACGCGATCTCCTTCGTTTTAGGAATCAAGTCATCTCATCTTCGTTCAACGCACCTCAGAGACCTCGTGTACCGTGGTCGCGTCCTTAAGACCTCGAAAATCAACGATGACGGATCAGCGGATGCGCCGGCAGCAAATGGCGACGCAAATGGAGATGCGAATTCCGATGGCGAGGGTGCGGACCTACAGAGATCCGAGCGCAATGATCCGAAGAGCGCATGGGTTATGGCGGTCTACGAGGATGATGCTGGAGATGAACTGAAATGGAAGCGCACAATCACAAACCAGGGGGCTAGCGAATACAGAATCAACAACAAGGTCGTCACGGCCCAGCAATATAATGAAGCCCTCGAAGCGGAAAATATTCTCATCAAGGCACGGAATTTCTTGGTCTTCCAAGGTGATGTTGAAGCCATCGCGTCGCAATCTCCGAAAGACCTTACCCGCCTGATCGAGCAGATCTCTGGAAGTTTGGAACACAAAGCTGAATACGAACGTCTGGAAACTGAGGCTCAAGAGGCGGCAGAAAACCAGAACAACAGCTTACAGCGTCGCCGAGGCATCAATTCCGAGATTAAACAATATCAGGACCAAAAGAAGGAGGCGGATAACTTCCAGGCCAAGGCGGACGAACGTGACGACGCGATTGTCAAGCATATTCTGTGGAAATTATACCACTTTCAAAAGGTCATCGACGAATCGTCGGAGGAGATCGCAAAACATCAGGAGGAGCTAAAGAAGTTCCGCTATGGAATAAGGAAATACGAAGCTGAACTTGATGAGGCGCGGAAAGAGCATGCTCGCACACAGAAGGAAGTGGGTAAGGTTGAACGTGGCATCAAAAGCAAGGAGAGGGATGTCGAGCACAAGATGAACAGTCTCGTCCCCATCGATGAAAAGGTAGAGCACGTCCAAAGGGAGACGGCGAAAGTTGAGAAGCGCATTAGCGACCTTACGAAAGAGCGTGACAGCCAACTTGCTGGAATACAGAGTGCCAAGAAGGAGCTTGCACTTGTGGACAAAGCGCACAAACTGTTCGAGACACAGTGGAAAGAGCAGATGAAGAAACAGGGCAAGGAACTCAGCGCGGATGATTTGAAGGAGTACAACAAGCTCAAGGCCCAGGTCATCAACCAGTCGTCAACAAATCAAGCTAAATTGGACAACCTATTGAGGCAGCTGAAGACCGATGAGATTACTGTCAATTCACTGAAGAGCAAGGTGCAATCATCGCAATCGCAGGTGGAGAAACTCGGTCAGGAAGCTAGCCAAATCACTGAGAGAAGGGATGCTATGAAGGTTTCGATGAAGCAGATCACGAAAGACATCGACGGCAAGAAAAAGGAGTACAATGTTCTGCAGTCCGAACGTCTACGTGTCAACCAGAAGCGCACAGAAATCGAAGAGAAGATTGAGGATATCGTCAAGAAACTCGACTTTGCGAATGATGGGAGGCGCCAGAACGACAGGGAGGCCAGAACGAAGGAGATCGTGACGGCGCTGAAGCGCATATACCCTGGTGTTCGTGGCCGAATCGGTGAACTCTGTAAGCCAAAGCAGAAGAAATTCGACGAAGCAGTCATCACTGCCTTGGGCCGCGATTTCGATTCTGTGGTCGTTGATACCGAGAAGACCGGAACTGAATGCGTTCAGTATCTGAAAGATCAGCGCCGCGCCCCAATGACGTTCATCCCCTTGGACAACATCAAGGTTAATGCGGTTAACTCTAACTTGAAGGGACTCTCAAAGGCACGCCTGACAATTGACACCATTGACTTTGATTCTACGCTTGAACGAGCCATGTCATATGCTTGTGGTAACTCGATCGTGTGTGACGACCTTGCCACAGCCAAGCAAATTTGCTACGACAAGGGCATGCAAGTGAAGGCTGTAACACTGGAAGGTTTCGTCATTCACAAGGCTGGTTTGATGACTGGTGGTCGTGGCGCCGAGGGCAAGGGCGGCAAACGTCGCTTCGAAGAACAAGATGTTCAAAATCTCGAGAAGATGCTCGAGAAGATGAAGACGGAGCTGGATAGTCTGCCCAAGGCGAATCGCAGAGGTGCCGCTGAAGAGACTCTGCAAAGTGATCTGTCAGGCCTTGAGCAAAGGCTGGCATACACCAAGAGTGAACTCGCTGCATTTGAGCAAAACCTTGCAAGCAAGAAGAAGGAGCTTGATTATGAGAAGCGACAGCTCAGTGATATTCAACCGAAGTATAAAGAGCAAGCTGGGTCCTTGCAGACTCTCCAGGAGTCTGTCCAGAACTTCAAGGATGCAGTCTCCAAGGTTGAGGACAAGGTGTTTGCTGGGTTCTGTCAGAGACTTGGTTACGATAACATTCGTGACTACGAAGTCCAGCAGGGCACATTGGAACAAGAAGCTGCTCAAAAGCGGAACGACTTCGAACTTCAGAAGCAGAAGCTCACGAGCCGATTGACTTGGGAGACGTCTCGTGTCGATGACACTAAGGCTCGCCTCAAGCGCCTTGAAGACCAGACATTCTCCCTTTCTCAGGACATTGACACGTACAATTCCTCAAAGGAAAAGCTGGAAGAATCACTTGATGTCGACAATGCCGAAATCGAGGTCTTGAAAGAGCAATTGACGGAGGCAAAGCAGAAGTCCTCCAAAAAGAACGAAAAGGTCGTCCAAGCCCGCGACGAACTGCAGAAGCGAAGCAAGAATGTGGACACTGTGCAGAGGGCTATTTCCAGCTTGGAGAGCGAAGCCCAACGTGCCGCGGCCGGTCGCTACGCGCAGCTTCGTCGCTGTAAGCTCGAGCAGATTCGGATCCCATTAGCCGACGGGTCTAGCGACCTGGAAAGCCTTCCTGTCGATAACATGCCTGATGTCGACCCCGATGCAATGGACGTTGACGAGGGTGACGCAGTCGACCCGGTGCTGATCAACGATGGCATCCAGATCGACTTTGACGAACTGGACGAGGACCTCACCGAATCAGGAGAAGAGCACATCGAAGAGACGCTCCTCTCGCAGATCGCAGCCCTCAACGCCGCTCTCGAGAAGCTCAACCCCAACATGCGCGCTATCGACCGTCTCGAAGCTGTCGAAGCACGCCTCAAGACTACAGAGCAGGACTACGAAGACGCGCGCAAGGCAGCTCGCGACTCTCGAGACGCGTTCTTGGAGGTGAAGGAGAAGCGCTTTAATCTCTTCAACAAGGCCTTCTCCCACATCTCGGAGCAGATCAGTCACGTCTACAAGGACCTCACGCGCTCGGCGGCGTACCCGCTGGGCGGGCAAGCCTACCTCGATATCGAAGACTCGGATGCGCCGTACCTCTCCGGTATCAAGTACCACGCCATGCCGCCGCTCAAGCGTTTCCGTGACATGGAGCATCTCTCCGGTGGTGAGAAGACTATGGCGGCGCTGGCTCTCCTCTTCGCGGTCCACTCGTATCAGCCGAGTCCGTTCTTCGTGCTGGACGAGGTGGATGCTGCGCTGGACAATGCGAATGTGGAGAAGATCCGGAATTACATCCGTGAGCATGCCAATCCGGGGATGCAGTTTATTGTGATTAGTTTGAAGACGGGCTTGTTCCAGGGGAGTGAGAGCTTGGTGGGGGTTTACAGGGACCAGGATGCTAATTCGAGTAATACGCTGACGCTTGATGTGAGTACCCCAATCCCTTCTTTCGGCCCCTTTTTGGTCCTGGTCGAGGACATAACTGACTGAAAATCTAGTTGCGTAAATACCAGTAGTGTAAATCGTTGCTTCGATGACAAGGGGGAGAAATGGGATGGCGTTAAATGGCTTGTGCTGGGTTCGCATATAACTTTGCTATATTTTTTGCTGCACACGGCAGAAGCGTACTTGTATTTAATCATGGCTAGATGATGAGACCATGAAAGTCCTAGATACATATATCCACACCATGATCTGCTCGGCGTTAGGCTGGTTTGAATATCATAAAAAGTTCGCACATATGAGACAACACATACTCCGGCCCTGATTCCACAGCCAATCTGCACGACATATCACCCATTTTACGACCACCACAACTTCCCCTTACGCTACTTAATGCAAACACCCACACTGGTTCAATCATAGCGTGCTCATCCATCCGTGTGAGCAACTCGAACCCCCCAGCCGCCCTGTCCAAAAACGCGTGGTGGTCGTGACCGCACTTTACGCGCCCCAGCCAATCAATACCCCAAGCCACCCCCTGACCTGACGCCAAACGCAGCCATTCGGAGCGCAGCCTTTCGCGTCGCGCAGGGCGCGTACTGCACGCCAGTCACAAACAAAGGTGATTCGGCGTGTCGCTCTGGATCATAACAACGCCCTTAGGGGGCCTGAGTAAGCCCCTGCTAGGTGCCCTGTCTACTGTCCTGGCAGGGGCCGGTGCACCCCGTTGCGGGCCGCTGGGGGGTTTGTTGTGGTCGTGGAGGCCGAATCAATGGCCTGGCGAGGATGGGATGGGGGGTGCTAATGGAGGTACTGTGGGGAGTTGGCGGCGGGTGTGGGGCTGGGAGTTAATAGGGTAGAAGAGAGGAGAGGAGAGGGGATGGGAGAGGTTAAAAGAGACGCGACGTGATGTTTTGATGTTGTGGTTTTGGTGATGGGGCGGTGAAGTGTGGAGAGGTTGGTGTTGCATTCTGTTTGCTGGGCTTAGGCTTACTGCTGCCGCTGAGGAAGGAAGCGTCAACAGAGCGATTGTTAGCTAGTAGCAGAACAGAGAGTGAATTGAACTAGCAAACATTTTGAAATTCGTAAAGCAAATCTTTCTTTCATCACCCTTTAACATCAAACATTATATTCCTAACCACGCAATAACCTATCTACACTCACCGACCTCAGCGGTCAAATCCTCGGTCACTCGCTTGCCTCCGTAAATGGCTTAGTGCGGCCCCTACCTATCCCATTATCACGATTGACGAGCGCGGCAACGCCAAACAACAACCTCACGACGACGGCGAATCGAGCGCCAGGCAGGCTTCAGGAATAGCTGCTGTAGCTGCAGGATATCCGTCACTTCCGCATCACAAAATTGTTGCACAGCGAAACCCGACCGGAGTTGAGACTGCGAAATCGCATCCGGAGCGATACAAATAGAAGTGGAGCACCACCCCCGATAAACATCGCCGGAGTGGGACAGTCGTGGATTGCGACAGCGACTTGTGCCTGCGACAGCGACGCCGATTATTCACCTGGCTGGCGAGAGAAGCTAGTAGCGAATGAGAAGGAGATTTGGTACCTGGTTCTCGACATCGATCTAGACGAAATATTGGTCCGACGCTATTGCTTTGTTCCTTGCGCGCTTCGATAACCTCACCTTCACCATCTGCGACAACCACCGATGGCGACGATGGAGGCCAGCGACGACAACAACAACACCACAGCTGATGTGGCTACAGCTGCTGCTTCAAAGGCTATTGAGAGTGAAACAATCAACTCCTTGAATACACCACCGCTCGAGAAGGCGCCCGGAAATATGACACCGCCACTTCCAAAGGAGAGGACAAGACGGACAACGGTGAATGCGAACACAAATGTGAACAGCAATACTGCCGGCGCACGGTCAAGGACACCAAGTGCGCCTGCGCCGTTGGATCCAAACGCTCTTAGCAAAGCGCTATTCAAGGAGTTTGAGGAGGGTGGAAGGTCGAGGGATATCACACCTGGAGGGAGTCCGAGTCGGAAGAGGCAAAGGGTCTACGGCGATAGGTGAGCTTTGATTTCTACTGTGTCTTTGCGCATGAAGAGAGGGTGTGGACGGCGCAAGGTGGAGGTCGCTGAGAGATTCATCTTTGAGGCTTGTGAGGATTGAAATAAATCTTGTGAATTCAAGATCGATTGGCGTTCAGATCCGATCTTTGGCCGCCTTTCAAGACTGATTTGCTGACAAAATATCCTTAGATTCATCCCAAACCGAGAAGGACAAGACCTACAGGCAAGTTTCAGCTTGCTTCACGATGATGGTTCGCCGGCGACACCTTCAAAGGCCAAGAAACGGACGCCGCATGGCGAGCTTCATTTCCAAAAGAGTAAGCTTCACAGTGGCCGTGAATTGAGAATGGTAACATGTGCTAACCTGTGACAGCTGAGGAGGCAAACCGGACCTTTTCCACACTTCTACGGGCAGAAATATTCGATACTTCAGTACCCCAAGCTACACCCACCAATTTATCACCAGACACTACAATACATTCAACATCTACGACAGCTCACGATCCTACTCGCTCTCACACTCCTCCCAACAATGGATCAAATACCTCTGTTACAAACTCCATGACACCTTCCACACCTCACAAGAACCTCTTCACATATATGTCACCCAGACACCACACCCACATAGCTGGACACCCTACACCAACTCGAACGCCTCAAAGTCGGCATGGACCTAACCTCAATGCAAGATCCGAGATTTACAGTCTTTCCCCAGTTCGCCTAAGCAGTCAACACATGCTCCTGAGCCCACGGAAGCAACCCCGAGCCGTTAACAAAGTTCCCTACAAAGTGCTTGATGCACCAGATCTCGCGGACGACTTTTACCTCAATCTCGTCGACTGGGGGAGCAGTGATATCCTCGGTGTTGGATTGGGAAGTTGTGTGTATATGTGGAACTCGGAAACTCAGCGGGTGAACAAGCTCTGCGAACTCGAGGATGACACCGTCACCAGCGTCTCCTGGATCCAGCGCGGCTCTCACATCGCTATTGGCACTGGGAAAGGCTTCGTGCAAATCTGGGATGCAGCTCGGACGCGCAGGCTACGAACGATGACGGGTCACACAGCCAGAGTAGGTGCGTTGGCTTGGAACGACCATATCCTGACTTCCGGGTCGAGAGACCGTCTCATCTACCACCGTGATGTACGACAACCAGATCAGTGGCTGCGAAAGTTGGTGGGCCATAAACAGGAAGTTTGTGGCCTGCGCTGGAACTGCGAGGATGGCCAGCTTGCATCGGGTGGAAACGACAACAAGCTCTTGGTCTGGGACAAACTATCCGAGACGCCGACGTGGAAATTCTCAGAACACACCGCGGCCGTGAAGGCTATTGCTTGGTCGCCACATCAGCGAGGACTCCTTGCTTCCGGTGGAGGAACGGCGGATCGCAAAATTATCTTCCACAACACTCTCACTGGCGCGCTGATCAACGAAATCGACACTGGCTCGCAAGTGTGTAATCTGGCATGGAGCAAGAACAGCAACGAGATCGTCAGCACGCACGGGTACAGCCAGAACCAGATTGTGGTGTGGAAGTACCCGTCCATGACGCAGGTGGTCAGCTTGACGGGGCATACCTACCGTGTGCTGTACCTTGCGATGAGCCCTGACGGCAGAGTCATCGTTACAGGCGCTGGCGACGAGACATTACGGTTCTGGAACGCGTTCCCCAAGAAAGCAGGGCAGCGTGGCGAGGACGGGGAAGGCGGCACCGGGAAGCTCGCGGAGTGGAGTGTCATCAGGTGAAGAAACAGGGGGTTAATGACGGGATGATAAGGGGGATATGGGCGTTGTGGATGGCATATGGCTTTAGCAACGGAGCTGATGTGATGAGACTTACGAAGCATGGCATTTGCATGGCTGGCGTTTTTGGGGCTGGGCTGGGTTGGGCTGGGAGAGATGAATCATATATGGATGGGCATGGCTTTCGACTTTGCTTTAGCGGGGGCATATATTTTTTGCTTTGGAGTTGGGCTTGGGCATTAGCGAGGCTCTTTCGGGTTCCGTTGGGGGACTTCGGAATGGGCACAGCGGGTTTTTGTGTGTAATGATTGGAGGTGGGGTGGGAAATTCTCCTCTCTCTTCCAGATTATATAGAGATATAGCTGGACGTGGCTGCATATCTTGCAAGAAGGAATGGAACATTCTACACTCCCATTTATGAGCTTACGTTATACTCTATGAAGCATGATGTCAGCTCTGTTTATTGACCACACACGCCGGCGAAAGCCAATCATATTCGGAAGACCTATGCTTGTCAGTAAGCTCACCCTGAGGAATTGCGGGGTAGGTTTTCGGGAGCTTCTTCTCTGGGCTATTATAGAATGTAGCTGTAGTTATGAACGGTGGATGGATATGAACCTGCCCGCTATTGATTGTATCCAACGTAAGCTTACTTTCTGTTGGATTCATAAGCTTTTAATACAAAGTTGTCGGGTTGCGTTTTCAATTTACTCTTCATAAAGAAACATTCTCACTTAACTTAATCTTACAGCGTTATAACGTCAAAGGGAACCTAGTTTCCCATCACAGTATCTACTTCCAACACTATCATCAGAATGTCCATGAAAAATGCTGCCGGTATCGATCTTTCCTACCAAAGCACTTTTACCGTTTAACTAACCGTCATATTTAGGAGAAGTGTGGTCCAACTATGGCAAGGCGTTTATGATTTTGGCAAAGGACGGCCCCGGCATCATTCCAGCAAGGGACATGGTAAAAGCCACCAACAAGCTCTACCCCTACGCCTCCGCCCTCTCTGTGCTCGATCTCGGCTGCGGCGTCGGCGAGCTCACAAACAGCGTCATCGAATCCCATGGCTCCGACTTACCCCCGTCCTCCCAACTCCTCGCCTCCGACATAGCCGCCGGCATGCTCAGCCAGCTTGAGCTCCGCAAGACCAACGCACTGGCAAAGGGGATCACGGCTTGGGAAAAGGTCGAAACTTCCGTTGACGATGCCCAGGATCTCTCTGCATTCTCAGATAACTCAGTGAGCCATGTGCTTGCGGGTTTCATGCTTTTCATGATCCCGCAACCACGCACTGCATTGAAGGAAATCCGCCGCGTGCTCACGGATGAGAATGGCGGCGGCGCGTTTGCAATGAGCTCTTGGCTGGAGCTGGATAGCGAGTGGTATCATATCATGACGCTTACGAACCAGTTCCGCCCGGAGAGACCATCGGTGAAGATGCCCCAGACGTGGCTCACGATTGATGGGATTCGAGGCGAGCTTGAGGAGGCAGGGTTTCGAGATGTGGATGTGTATCCGCTGAAGACGTATCTTCCGTTTGAGGGACATGAGCAGCTGGCGGATTTCATGATGTATACGTTTCCTAATATGGATAGAATGACTGCGGGGTTTACGGAAGAGGAACTGAAGGAGCTGCGAAGGCAGATTATCGAATATGTCCAATCGCGCCACCCTACAGCACCTTCGAAGCTGGAAGGCACTGCTATCATTGCAGTGTGCAGGAAGTAAATAGGGGGTTGGAGGCAATATGGAGGATACATAGCTCATCTGATGGTAAATACTAAGGCAAATTCGACATGCCGAGCAATATAAATTTTGCACATGCACTCATCGCCTCATGTCTACAGCACATATAAACAACACTGTAATATTATTCATGGAGAAGTGGTTCTATAACTCCGAATCAATTCTATTATATTCTCCTAGAATTTCGTATCAATACATTTTGTGTAAATCCCACTCTCACACCCCTTAAAGCACGAGGCTTCCCGGCTCCTCCTCCAAGATCTCCTTCACTCTCTCCAGGAACACCATTCCCTGCCTCTCATCTCCCTCTGGCACGCTGACACTGAATATGTTCGTCGTTGCTGCTGGTCCTGGAAGTGGCGTGGCAGGGATGCGCTTAGGCGCCGTGCTCCTGACCTTACCGGTAAGGAAGTCCAAGACATCGACGTCTTGCTTCACGGTCCTCACGCGAGGCACGGTGGCCATGGCAGTGTGTGGCAGGGCAGTGATTTGTGGCAGGAAGTTGCCGCGGACGCCGTAAGAGCTGCGGATGGTGTTGAGGCCAAGGATGTCGTCGAAAAGTTCGTCTTGGGATGGCTTTGCGTTCTTGGAGCGTGGGAGATCATCGTTGGCAAAGTCGGCGGCGCGAGCGATGAAGGTCGAGAGGGGAAGGTGGGTTCCGAGTTCTCTCTGGATGCGGGCCTGGACCTCGAGTGCTGCAGCCATAGAGATAGGGAGAGCAACTTGGATATCTTGCTCAACCACTGGCTCAGCGACTGGTGCAGGGGCGGCCTTCTTTGGTGCCTCCTTCGGTGGCGCAATCTTGATGTTGCTGAGGTCGAGATGGGAGAGTTTCTCAACCTTGCCAGCAAGCTCCTTCGGGTATGCCTTCGAGATCTGGCCGAGATGGGCGAGGATGTCGCCCTTGAGGAGTTGGTTCTTGGGCCCGGTGCGCTTAATCTTGTCGACCTCCGATGCGGCGATACCGTGCTCGTGAATGAGGTGAGCAACCGATGGCAAAAGCGGATATTCTCTAGTGCTTTTGTGGGATGGTGCAAACGTCTCAGCAGCCGGCTTTGCGGATTCCTCCTTTGCCTCTGCCTCCTTCGCTGGTTGCTGCTCCTTTGGCGATTCCTGCTTCTTGGGTGCTTCAGCTTGAGCGGTCTCTTCTGCTGGGATTTCCAGAGAGCTTATGTCGTCACCCAATTCAGCAAGAACACCAATCCTTGCGCCAACTGGAATGCCCTTTGCACCATCGCCTTTGATGATTTTAGCCACTATGCCGTCATCTTGAGCCTCAACATCCATGCTAGCCTTATCTGTTTCGATTTCCAACAGAACATCGCCAGCGACAAATGAATCGCCCTCCTTCACTTTCCAGGTCGCAATGTTCCCCTCAGTCATCGTTGGCGACAGTGCCGGCATTGTGAAATTTTGCGCGGCAAGGTTTGCACGAGAGCTTCTGTAGCCTATCCCGCAACAATCAGCAAATGAAGCTCAACTATTTTCCACCGGCGGCACCGGAATTTACAAAACCTCACGTACCTCGTGATTGAACATCTCTCCTCAATTGCCTTGTAACAGCCCGTGAGGACAGCCTGCAAGCCGCTGCAATTGACGCCATGCTTGCTGAGTTGGCGAGGCTCAAGTGAGCTTCGAATGGGCGCCAAAGGGTTGTTGAGGTTCCCGCCCACCAAAATCACGGCGGACATGATACTCCGGAATTCGGAGAAATACAACACCGAGATATTTTTACTGCAAGCTTTCCGCAGCCTTGCGGATTACTAGTCGTCCCAAATAGGCCCGCCCAAGGTGAGTGATTGCTGCAATTGAAGCCGACACGGCCACGCGATACGTTCATGCCTAACTAATACCCTCTACCAGATGTCCTGCTTCACGAGGAGCGCCATGCTGCGCTTCCAATCCCTCCGCGCGCCTCTCTCCCGCGTCGGCCTCAACAGCTTCCACGCGACACCCCTCCACACACTCCCCCAACGCCTCCCCCTCACGCGTACCTTCACCAGCACCATCCGCCTCGCCGCCAAAAAAGCATTCTCCAAACCCCTTCCCCCAAAGCAAGCCGTCAAACCGCCCTCGGCCATCCCCGCAACCCAAACCTACCAATCCTACACCGCGAAGCTCGCCTCCCGCCCAACCCCAACACCCCTCTACATCGCCCCCTCCCACACCTTCTACATCCTCGCCGCCTACACCGGCGCCACCTTCTGCATCGCCTACGCCGGCTTCAGCTACTACGCCAACGTCTACGCGCCCCCCAACGGCCTCTCGGCATGGGTCCCCATCGCCTTCGCCGGGATCTGCTTCCTGATGGCCGGTATGGGCGGGTGGCTGCTCTTCGCGCCTACAAGCCTAATCCGCTCCATCACCGCATACCCCGTCAAGTCCCTCGTGGCTAACGGCCAGCCAACCCTCCGCGTCGACATCGAGCTGCGCAAGGTCCTGCCGATCCCCTTCCTTGCCCCCCGCGTCATCTCCACCTCCCCCACCGACCTGCAGCTGAATCACAGCATCTACGTCCCCCCCGCGCGCCCGGCAACAGCGTCAGAGCGTTTTGAGGTCGCGCGGCTCGAGGCGGAGGCGCGGGAGGCGGAGAGGAAGAAGTCGATTATGTTGGCGCCGTTTAGGCATGCGTCGCAGGCTTTCTTTGGGATGTTTGTGGCGATTAAGAGGACGTGGACGAGGGATGGGTTTTTGGATTTGAAGGCGGGGAAGAGGAGGTATAAGTTGGATATTACGGGGGGGTGGGCGCTGGATGAGGGGAGGGCGTTGGATCGGATTTGTAAAGTTACGCCGAGTTGAGGAGGAGGGGAAGGGTATGAGTGGGAGTGTTGTTTGTAGTAGGGATGGGTTGTAAGGATTATGGAGATGTATCATAGGATTGTATAGCACAAACAAATTCAAACCAAATTCACAAGTCACCAACACCATCATGCGTGCCAAGCCCGCGTACAGCACAAGTTCATGAGAAGCTCAACCAGCATTTCAGTACCTGAAGTGAATAGGAAAATTAATCGCACCTCGTCTCCCCCCCCATTCATCAGCAAGCATGCCCGCGGCCGAAACATGGACACGCGGGTGCGAAACTACAAAAAACACCACTCTTGGTACAATCATAGCATACGGACTTTAAAAGAGGCTCTTCCCCGAATAACCCCTCCCCCCTTTTCGCATAATCCCCCCCCCCCCTTCTGCTCCCGAAAGTTCCCCCCCATACCCCCCTTATTCCCATCTCCAGTTACCCATAACGAAATCATTTGCAAGCCAGTGCAGGGAAGCACGGCTCGCCTCACGGCCAAACAGACAAGTACATATGCCCCCCTCATGCGTCCCAACATCGTTAAAATGTCATATACACAAACCCCTTCCATCCCCTTACCCTACTTCCCAGTGCCGGCAACCAGGCCATTGAATACCCCCGTTAATTTTTCCATATCACGTAGGCGCCAGTCGCGAGGTCGTCGGGCTCATGAAGCAAAAAATCTGGGCGGGGTTAAGAAAAAGTCTGCGTAAAATGAATCATAGCGAGGTTCGAAAAGAAAGGCAAAATCCAGGGGCGCAACGTATGTGATGTTTTGCGAAGTCGAAGAGGCGGGTCGTACCAGTCGAAAGAATTGGGGTGGTCGAATACGGAGAGAGAGGTTGGCAGGCGACCTGCGGAGGATGTTGGAGGAAAGGAATATTTCGAGTCGGCGTTGGGTGGTAATTTCGATATGGGAAAAATAAAATAAGAGTCGATTTATCTGCGTCCGAACCTGCTACACACGAGAATGTTCGTAATTGTTCTTCTTACTTCTTTTGCTTCCGCGGAGGAGTGACAGGTCTGCTCGCGCCTAGACCGCCATAAACGTACTTTTGTTTTTTCTCGGCAGGTTTCAAAATCTGAAGAGACATAAAGATCAGCCACCTGTCCAATCGCAATACAAGGGAAACAAAGGGCATATATATCTTACCTGGAACGAACACAACAGACTCTCATCCACGCTCATCATTGCACCAGCATTGTCAAACTCTCCACAGTAATTGGGCGCGCTGAACAGCGTGACCAATTGCCGCTTCGAGAAGAATTCATACCCGTCTTCAACGACCTGATGAGCGCGGCAAATCAAGTCCATATCATGCTTTTGAAGGAATCTTGAAACGACGTCGGGACCGAAGGTAAACGATACACCGCGGTCATTCTCAGACCATCCGGTTATGTCCTTGTCGGGGTCGGACCAGAGCAAATCGCAGAGAAGGCCGCAGTCGGGAATCTATAAAGTTGGTCAGCAAAAGTTCGCGCCCTCTCTCGTCGAACGACGAGAGCTGGCAAGGACCGAGCACAGGTTAGGGCTTACGTCAGTTGGGCGCATAACGCGGCGAATCTGCTCCATGGAGTTGAGATCGGGGCTGAGGCCTCCGTGCATTGTGAAGATCTTCTCGTCAATAATGGCAGCAATGGGCAGGCAGTTAAAGCAGTCAGTAAAGGTCTTCCACAGCTTAATGTTATATCTTCTCTTGCACTCGTCGTAGAAGCCGTAGATGCGGTTGATCGAGGCGCATTCGTGGTTACCGCGGAGGATGAAGAAGTTCTCTGGGTATTTGATCTTGTACGCAAGCAAGAGGCAGATCGTCTCCAGCGACTGCTTTCCTCTGTCGACGTAGTCACCCAGGAAGAGGTAGTTGGCTTCCGGTGGGAATCCACCGTATTCGAAGAGTCTCAAGAGATCGTAATATTGGCCGTGGATATCGCCGCAAATCTGAACGCAAATCATCAGCGACTGGCTGGTGAAACAGCGCATTGCACAAGTGGGATACGAACCTTGATGGGAGCCTCAAGCTCCAGAAGGATCGGTTGAGAGATGAAGATCTCACGAGCTTTTGTGCACAGATAGCGGATCTCAGCCTCCAAGAGCTGAACCTGCTTTCCCGGTCTGCTTCCTCTGACCTCCAACAGACGGTCTATTATGGAATCGAGATCCACATCGTTCTGGTCCGCCATGACGTCTGGGCCTCTCGAAGGAGGTGGGTTGGAGTGGGGTCGGTTTTGCTCGCTGTATGTGCGTCTCGGAAAGTCGATACAGGCTATATCGTGTTTCGCTGTTGAGAGGACTGTAACTCACTTGTTGGACTGGCACGCGTTAGAAGTTAGTTTTTCAAGAGGCGAGGTCGTCGCTCCGTCAGCCGCGTTGTGACTGAATCTGACGCAGCAGGCTCGGTTTGTTGACAACTCTCCAGGGAAGGTGAATGCTTACTATCAGTGAGTCGGCCTCGGTGAATAGAATGGAGAGGAGCTCAAAGCCTCCAGTTGCTGCAAATTTCGCTTGAGTGGTGGTAGTTGAGTCGTTGCTGTTGACAGAGGCAGAGTCGAGTTGCCTGGTCGCCTGTGATTTGCGTCACGGATAAGGTGGGATCGAGGGTGGACTAAACGTCTCTGTGCAGTAGTGTAATAGAAAGTCGATATCGACTTCTCGTTTGGGGGGATCAAGGTGCGTCAAGTGGCAATCGTTGTGATCCGTGTTTTGTTGAAGTGGTGGTGAAAGGGTGGAGATGTCGCGCGAGGTTGAGATTTGAGTAGTAGAACTTTGACTATCTCTTAGCGGCTGGCCGACAACACGAAAAATGCGCAGCAAGGAACTTTGGTCGCGTAAAGCCGTAATAGCGACAGTAATAAGTTTCAACCCACAGCTAAAAGGTTCGGCGCTTCCGATTTCAAAATATAATTCAGTTAATGTAACTGTTCGCGCAATAGTAGAGCGAGAGAAATTGTAGATTTATAATTCAAGAGCAAGCAAGATAAGTTTGTTGAGGGAAGGGTCGGAGGGTGGACGAAGGGGGTTCCTGAAATCCCGAGAGCTCGTTTTAGATGTCAAGGGAGCAACGTCTGGACGTTCTACCCGGTAGAGCACTGAAACGCGATTTCAAAGCACAACTATTCTTTCTGCAGGTACAGCCAGAATAAAACACAAATACTTCAATAATAGAGCCACGCTTCTTTTCTTCACTGATTTATACTGATTTGAAACTAGAATTCTTCGACTTGGGGTATGGAATGAAGATTTGACCTTTTACTGAGGGGTAATGGGCAAGTACTTCTATATATCTATGTTGTAATGGCTGACGACCTCCCGCCTCTCACCACACCCTCTCCGGCACCGAAAAAAAAGAGTCTCTCCTCCCTGCTCCTTTTGCTCCTTGCTGCCTTGAGGGGGGAAGAGGGGGGAAACTATTATATAAGCAACATTAACCGTCCGTTGGTAAACGACCTGTACTGTGCCGGGAAACAGGACTCCAGGTCATCCTCCATGCTCACTGGTGTCTCGGTAGACGCCACGCTGATGCCGCCATGAAAGCCTGGGCCTAACAAACGGTAAGCAGGAGGGCAATTTTGACTTAATGAGGGTGTGAGGGTGTGGCTCCTGGGCGCTAAATCAAATCGTTAGAAAGACCCTACGAAACCCCCGTTCTGAGGGTTTCTATTTTGAGAGATTGTCGTTAACTTGATCTCATCCCGAGAAGAAATTCCCCATAAATAACATACATCATACCTCATCATAGTTCCACTCTTCTTTCTCGAGCCCAGAATTTCCACTTTATATTCAAGATTCCAAGCCCAGTGCTTCCTGCAAACTGATCTGAACTTCTTTGTTGGGGGAGAGGGAGGGGGTCTCGGATTTCCACATCCGTCTCAGACAACGTACGTACTTTATACTCATGATGCTGGATATCGGATACGGAGCCTATCAGAATGCCAACATTATAAAGGGCTGATGTGTTGGACAGCATACCTTGGGCCTTGTCTAGGGTACAGTCGTATTGCTTGATTCGTCCCATCTTCGCACTCTGGGCATCGCACTCTGGGCACTATACGTCCAGACCACCGCCGTTATCAGGGGTCTACCATCCAACCCCCCTCAGCCTTATCTCTGCCTTGAAGTAGAAAGAAGGGCCATGTGGACATATTATAAATGAAAGCATCACACCATTAATCATTTCAAAGGCTGCAGCAGCATTATAAGGGTATAACAGATCATGATTCATTCGTAGCCTTCTCTTCCCATGCACGATAACTCCCACCAACGCCCAGCTAAATTATCCCTTCAAACACCTCTCCCCCCCCTACTTTACACAGTGGAAAAATCGCAAAAACCAACCAAATGTCAGGAAAAGCCCGACGAAAACAAATGCCACGCCCAGGATCAGCTCCGGGGCAATGGATGCAAGCAACTACCTCTCCGCCACTCTTGGACCCCGAATCACTCAAGAGCAAACCCGCGCGCAAAAAAATCAAGAAATCAAAAACATTCTCAAAAGCGACCTCCGCCCATGCCCATCCCAATCCCAATGCTATGCTCCTTAAAAACAAAACCGCGAAAAACGACAACGAGGATGTGAAGTAAACGAACTCGCATCTAAAAAACAAAAAAACCTGGAAAAACATTCCTACACAAAAATATGCTTTGACAATGAAGTGGAATCTTTTTTGCGGGTATGTGTTACAAAAGACTGATATCTTATGTATCGGGTGGGATCCGCAACGCAGGGCTTTTCTCAGCCGAGCGTGCGCCCACTCTGTATCGTCTGTTGACTGCGTGGCCGAGGGGTGGTCGGGCTCGGTCGGATGGTGCTCGCGGGGCTGAAATCGCCCGGAGGGTGGTGGGAGGGCGGTTTTTGTGATTCCCAGCCTTCCTCGCTCAGGACGCTGAGCCAGCCGTTGCCAGCCTCGTTTCGGAGAGCCTCGATTTTCTTTCGGTACATTTCGCCGCTGACACTCCAGTCTTGGGTGTCGAGGTCTTGGGTGCCGAGGGATGGCAGCGAAATGGTCGATTCCTCTAGGGATCTCTCTGCGGGAAGGAGTTGGGGGGTGGTGGTTGTATCGAGGCGAGGCAATATGTCGGGTTGGCTGGTTGTACGCTCCGGACGTGGAGGCGTATAGTCGGGTATGGTATGTGAGGGGTGCGTGTCAGGGCTTACTCCATAACCACTGTCGGACCCTGCTGTTCCTGGGATTGGTTCTTCGGACTTCAATACCACTGGTGGCTTGGGTTTATTCGGCAACACCTCTGACGTGGATAGGTCGACGATTCTCCGTTTCGGTGTCCTTCTCCGACGGGATGAGCTTGTATAAACATCGCTAGTCGCTGTGTTTGGTTGAGGTCTCTCCTTGCGTAGCACTGAAGCTTCTTTGGGAGAATCATATATAATCGCTGGCTTCGTAATATCTACAGCAGTAGGTAGTGGTGGCAATGGCTTCACTACGGGAACATTTTCACGCTCTGGAACGCGTTCTACGAGTTGTCTCCTCTCGTTATACCCTGGGCCGGAAGCGTCGATTATCATGTCCTCGGTAAACCCAGGCGAATTTCGGAATAAGTTGAAGATGGTAACTCGATAATTTGGATGGGTCTTGGTGAATGGATTTCCGCCGACCCAAATCTCCTTCAATTCCGGGATTCCAGTCAGCCTGGCAAGCTCAGTAGGATCTGTGAGCTTGTTGTCTCTAAGGTCCAGGCGTTCCAGTGGGTACAATCGTTCTACTCCAGCTAATGACATCAAGCGGTTCCCCCTGAGGTTCAAGGCAGTGATGGCAGGAAGTGGGTTGCGTGTCAGGGAGTGGAGAGAATCAATCATGCAGTTTGAGAGATTAAGGGCCCGTAAAGCTGTCAGAGATGCGAGGGAATCGGGAATCTGCGAAAATAAATTCGAAGATAGATCCAGAGAGTTGAGGGTATTGGCTAACGGTGCTAGGCCCGTAGCAGAAATCGATGTGAGGGAGTTGTCAGCCAGGCTGAGATGTTTGAGGAATCGCCATTTCGTAGATGGCAGGATGCCCGTCGACAAGATGTTGGAGCTGCTGCCTCTTGGGTTATACCAGGTATCGGATGTGCTTGAATGGGAGCTGTTGGATCCAGATCGCTTCACTTTGTGCGATCCGCGGACATGGCCATGAGCAGATCCAGTTCTCGAGCTTGTGGGCCGGACAGGTGAGCTGCTTCTAGGGCGGTTGTTCTTCGTGAGCGAAGTCAAGTCTCCAGAAGCAGAGCGGCCGAGACCAAAGTCGCTGTGATGCATCGCCCGGGACTCGCGACTCTCGGGACTGCCGACTCGCGAATCTGGTGATCCTGGCGCAGAATTTGAGTGAACGAGCTCCGCATGAGGTATAGTTGGACTCCTTTTAGGACTGATATTCGGTGCCCAAGGTGATATAGGTGATGATTGAGCCTTCGACGAGCGCCGGCGCCTCTTATCCATGTCATCCAAAACTATGTCGATTAGCAAATCGCCAGGATCTTCTATCGAGGCCCGCTTGACGGTCAAGCTGCGAAGCTGTTCCGCCAATCGGTCCCAACCAAAAAATTGTCTGATATCGATATCACTAATCTCCAAGGCGCTTAGGTTCTTGAAAGCAATCAGAGGAACTGCAGTGTCGAAGGGAAATTCCTCGTATCCAGAGATCAGTCTCGCACGGCGATCCGGTGTCAATCGAAGACAGGGGATCTTGGTGAAGGCTGAGTATAGGTATTTGAGGTCTTCCCTGTTCGCAGCCAGTTGTCTTTCGATTTTGGCAGCAGAACTTGCACCTCTGAGGCTGAAGCCAGACCATAGCGACGTCATGCCCGACATGACGCTTCGCATGCTTGAAACGGAGTGTATAGAGCCATGGTCGGAGCCGCTCTTTGGATTTTGTGATTTTCCAAGGAAGGAGACATAGTTTGCGGAAGTATCGGAGTGTAGGCTTTCGAGTCGCACGTTCATAGGCCCAACAGCTATCCCAAGATCTTCGAATCGCGAGAGGAGATAGAATAGATGATGCGGAGTGAGGGCGAGCTTCGCGGGTTTGATGTTATGGCTTGCAAAATTTAGGTATGGTAGTGAGAGCGCTGCGGCAAGTGTGCTCGATGTCAGGGTCGATGATGCCGACGACGACGGTGGGCTGATGACGGTCGTCGATGTGCTGGTGGGGACCCCCAGCGCGCCCGAGTGGCTTTGTGACCGGCCATGTCCGGGTGATTGTTGTTTTCGTAGTTGTAGAGCATTTGCGAGAGCTTTCTCATGAGTTCGAACGAATTGGGCGAGGTTCTAGAGGACGTCGTCAGTTCTGATTAAATCGTAGACAGTTTGGATGTGTGTGTTTACCTTTACGAACAGCTGCCCATCTTCAGTGTCCATCCCGGCCGGAGAGAAGACGCAGGCTTCAACTGCGCGTAGACTTCGACATGAAGACTATATATTATCGGTTGCCCCACTGGTGGTACACTGTCGACGCTGTATTACCCAGCCTCGCCGGAGATACTCCTTATGGCACAACCACAAGAGTCCCAGAGTGTCAGTAGAGGCTGACCTGACCTGTGGTTGAGACAAAGATTAGCAAGGTGCCAGTTGAGGATCGAGGGTGGAGGAAAACATTAGGTTGGGAAGAAAGGCTGCTCTCGCTGCCTTGTGCGCCCCAGGACTCAGGAGTATTACGCACACCTCATGCGAATAGCTTGAGCCTCGCGCGATGACTGATCATGGCTTCGAAAGGGCTTCAAGACACGGGCGAGTCATGGGGCTGCACAACAGTTCACGAGCGTCGCGGGTCTGAACTTCAAACAAGAACAAGCTTATGTTTATCGCAATAAGGAGAGAAAGTGTTTCACTCACCAGTGTATAGATCCACTGGATCTATTATCCACACGACACCGAGAAATACCCCGTCGACGTCGACGCAACAACACACAGATCTCTCTCCAAAGGAAGGGAGTGTCGACGAGAAGCGACAAGGCTGTTCAAGTATATAGCAAATTTCACTTGGTAAAAGGATTCGCCGGGCACACCCACGAATAAGCGCAGACGTGGGGGGGAACGGGTGCACGGTGATGTACACTGCAGCAGCGAGGTCGGTGGAGACGCAGACTACTCAAGGGTCCTTAGTGCACGGTGTGCAGCTAATGACGGATCCCAGCCACCACTTGCAGGGCAGTGAAGCCAGTGAAGCCAAGTAGCCAGTAGGCTCTTGAGAAACTGACTGTGGGATATGCAGCTGGGGATGCAGCTGGGGATGCAAACTGAGGATGAGG